ATATTTTTACAGTCTCTATTTTACAGTTAAAATATGTGTTTATCAAATAAAGTAATGTTACAACTAATCAGGGATCCCTTTAAGTTTATGCATTGCCCATGTTTACACATTGAGCAGACTAAAATGACAAAATCCCAAATTGACCCCTAAGTTGAAGTACTCTTACATAAATTCATAAACTGCTCGTTGTGTTTCTATGTTTTCTGCTCTGCCTGGGTTCACYTGATAACAGCTCTTGATCAAACCTTAAACATGAGCCACTCACTGGGTATCCAAGCAGTCCTGGTTGCCCTTCCAACCCCATGGCTCCTGGCTGACCCTGGAATTAATGCARAAAATGGTGAAAAAGGGAAGCTGGGTTCACAACAAACACAGAATTAGTTTCTCTATGACTATAGTTCAGCACTGACACAACCTTCAGACTTTGACTACTCCTTATATTACTCTAAACTTGTTCTCTTCTTTTTAGTTTTAAGTCTGATTCCAAGGCAGGACAAAGTGAGAGGAGAGACTGGAAAGAAGTGGAACTAACAGGTGAGCCTCGAGTTCCTCTGGCACCTTTCAGCCCCGGCTTGCCTTGTTGGCCAAGGTCTCCTCGAGAACCAATCTCACCAGCCAGACCTGGAGGACCCTTTTCTCCCTGCGAAGATTCAAAAGCTCAGTTAAAGATCTGAAAAGGTGGTGTTGACGCTGAAGTTATGGGACTACAAGATGAATAAACAAGGTGGAACAAAGCATTGATCGGTATGCCTCAGTGTACTTTTTGGAAAGGTCTTGGTCTGTAGAAATTATTTCAATTATTATTTTCAACCAACAATGTAAAAATAGCACCAAAAATCACTATAACAGCCGAGCACCCATCGTAAACATTGTACAACAGCCATGTGATGCTTTGTTTTTCTATTTATCCACCAGATGTCAGCATCTCCAAGTCTCCTAGCAGTGCCAAGGTCATGTTTAGACGTTCAAGTGGGATTAATGTGGCCTGAAACATTCATCAAATTTGGGTTGTATCATATAAAACAGGGGTTACCAAACTTTTCCAYGCCCAAGCCCMCMAAAMAACATTAGCTTCTGGCCAGGGACCCCCTTGCAAGTTGACAATAAAATAYATCAATATATGTAAAGAAATATCAACTTTGATGTAAAAAAGTTTCCATAAGCTTTTAGCCAAGATTCATAGGTTTATATTAATACCAAACAAGTCCAGGTTCAACGGACAGATCTTAAGTTAAAAGAAGTTAAAAGAAAGAGAAAACCATCCAGCTTTCTGAGGCACCCCTAGCGCCCCCTGGTGGCCCGGCCCCCATTTCGGGAACTCCTGATATAAAATAGTCTTTGTTCCGCCAGTGGGCAAAAACGGTGCGGTTTTTGCCTCTAAACTTTTCCAGGCATTTCCAGATGCTATCAGGGGCTTTTATTTTATTTATTTATTTATTAAACCA